GGTTTTTTTCGAACCATATATCGAGTGGTATGAACCTCGTTCAATTTGGTTTGGGGGTACTTTTACCATGCTTATTCGGCTAGACCCTTTTACAAAAATACGCAATTATTTTTCTGAATACGTGCCGTGCAGAAGAAGAAAAAGTTACACAAAGTGACGCAGACAATGACAACGAAAGTGAGCATCACAGGGACAACGAAACTGAGAACAATGATAATAAAAACGAATACAACATACAATCACCGAAAGAACAAATAAAATATAAGTTGCTGTGATTAAAATACCATCTAATGAGAGCTAATTGTTTAAAAACAGAATTAGCCCAGCTTACTTCTTCATAGGAAAACTTAAAGATATTAAGGTAAGGATGAAATTGCAGTGTTTCTTATTCCTTATTTTTCATTCAATCTTATGACCTAATAAACATGAACCGATTTATATCATGTTTAGTCTCATTTTAATCAGAAAAATCTCCTCCACATAATACTAAAAATTTTGTTAACAAAAAGTACAAAATAAAAAACTTTTCTTCTGTACAGTAGTGTGGTCACACTGACAGGGGCATTTAAAGGAAGGTGACGAAGGTAATAAAGATATTTAAAAAAAGTCGCTACGTCTCCGGTTACACTTCGCCTCCCTGGTTCAAGGGGGATCCCTCTAGTGGTGGGGATAAAAAAGTACCATTTACGGAACTACTCTTGAGCACATTTATCAAGTTTTCACGTACTATTATACTCATTGTTACACTAATTTTCATATGGAGGTGGTAACATTTATATGTGCATGAGGAAATGAATATCGTCTTGAAGGTATTGAAACGGGATCAGAACAGTTCGCAGTTGAAACTTGACCGTTGTTCAATTCACATCAGAAGAATTGCAATCGCTGTTAGTTCGGAACCGGTAGGAAATACTAAATCAATATTGTCATTTTCTTTACCGATATTTGATAGCATGTTGTCTTTTTTAAATATTTTTTAGACTTCAATACGTTCAGTTTTCATATGTGTACGCATATTTCATATTTAAACTAAAAAGAAATAGAAATATTTATTTTATTAACAAAAATTCAAGTATTTATGATATAATAAACAGAATGCAGTTAAAATAATAGCTGATTATGTTTCTGAAAAAATTCATGAACCGTAATATTCCTTAATATAATAGTTTATGCTTTATATATTTTGTTTTTAATTTGTTTTTAGTTGTCTTTATATTTTTTGTATTGAAAAAAAGTAGCCTTCTTTCACAAATTCATAATTTTGTAATCGTTAGCTCTGAGTGATTTAAGGGTTTAAAAAATCCAATTTTTTTTTGCATTTTCTTTTAGTATGTAGTCTCGAAAATATATCTACCAAATATTAAATTGAAATTTGAAAAACTAACGAAGTTATAGCCTGCTGAAATGTACCGCGAGCAGATATAACAACTGGACGTGCAACTTTAAAGCTGTTTTTCTCGAAACTAGATTTTTCGGCACTGCATATGTGATGACAAAAAAACTATTCAAGATATCAACATGAAATTTATACGGTATCTTTAGAACTGGTTTCCCTATACCATGAACTAGGATAATTGCGATATATGCAATACTTTTTCTTTTACTAACAAAAAAGCAACCGAATATATAAAAATATTCAGTATTTTTTCGTAAAGTAGCTGCCATTATGACATTTTTTGTTTTTTTGAAAAGATCCTAGTTCATGCTATAACCACACTCATCTACATTAAGAATATCGTTGGTTTTTGGATTTCGGACAACTTGTTCGCAAGGTATCACATACGCAGTCAGGCGCCACAAAGAAACATGTATTTTTCGTGCCTACAAGGTAGAATGGCCCCTGAAGATAGATTTTTTATAAATGTTCTGATTGAATGTTTTTCACTAAGCGTGTGAAGGAAAGCGCGTATTTAAATGATTATGTGACCATCAGATTTATATTAAGTAATTATTATACTGTACTACGTATATTACGTATACAACAGGTATATCATCGAGATGGCATCTAAAGGAAGTGATGCGTATTTATATGATATGTTGGATATGTCCGAATCGTCAAACTTAGAGAAACAACAAAGTGAAATTGCCAAATTCTTTGCTTACACCAACATTTTGGTAACAGGAGGGACAGGTTTCCTGGGTAAATTACTTATCGAAAAAATATTAAGGTAATCTTCCGATAACATATACATGATTTTTGTATTATTTAGTCATTTTTTTTTTATCAAATTGTATATGAACAGTTCTACTGATTTTGATATATTCAATGTTTATTACGATTTTCCAAACCATTTAATATCGTACACGAATATATAAGAATTAATATCTTAAAGAAAATGAAAATTTTTTTCCGTGTTTATATTTTTGTAGTAATTAATCATAACGAGTCTAAATAAAATAGCATATTGTAATGAAATAAGATAGAGAACTGAAAAACGCTTGAAAAATGGCGTAACATTTTCTTAAAATTTATAATCAATTTTTTAGTTCATTTTTCCATTTCCGTACTTTGTATCATTACATAATTTTAATTTATTGATGCCTAAGTATCATTGTTTTATCGAATGTTTTTTAATGTGTCATATGAATCAGTGATTTGCAACGTAGATCAGTTTTCCGTTCTATGAACAGGTCAAAAGGTACATTCGTTATGCAGGCTAAAACTATTATACTTGCAATTTAATTGAATTAATACTCTAACCACATATTCTGGGGGGAAATAAAACTCAAAATATACTTTTTTTTATTGTGAGAAAACTTTTATCTATTATTCTACATCAAAATCGTAAATTTAAGAATAGTTCAAGCATTAATGAAATCGATGCATTAATTATGAAATGACAAAACAATTAATTTTAAGAATAACATGTGAATAATTAATGAAATTTTTATAGTATTCTTAGTATTGAGACTTTCCATCCTTATTTTCATCGTTCTTCATTATCATTTTATTTCATTTTATGCATATTTACAGATCCTGTCCAGATGTTGCGACAATATACATGATAGTAAGGCCGAAAAAGGGGAAAAATTCACAAGAACGATTTAAAGAAAATTTTAATGGAATTGTATGTAATATAGATGTAATGATATATGTATATACATAGTTGAACAGTAATGATTGATATGTAATTATAATCAGGAATTTAGTAGATTGAGACGTGAACAGCCAAACTTTCTCAATAAAGTGATAATGTTAGAAGGTGATGCGGCACAACAAGATTTTGGTTTATCACCGGAAAGTAAAAAGATTCTGATGAATACAAATATTATTTTTCATGCTGCCGCAACTGTTCGATTTGATGAAATATTTCGCGTAGCGATGAATACCAACGTGAAAAGTACAAAATATATGTTATTGTTTGCAAAAGAATTACCAAACTTAAAGGTACGTTTCACACGTTTAAATATTAAATAAAAAATATAAATAACTATCAACAGTTGAAATAATATTATTTAGAATTTGAATTACATAAACTGTATTTATAAATCATTTTGCAGGCGTTTGTACACGTGTCAACTGCATTCTCACATTGTATGCTTAAATCTATCGATGAAATACATTACAAAGTTCCCATCGATGGCGATAAGATATTAACATTGTTGGATGTTCTGGATGATGATAAACTGGAGAAAATTACTCCAGTGTAAGTATTAATTCAAAATGGTATAAAAATTAATTCTGCTAATAAGAAAGTTACATTGGAGATAACAATGATTAATTATAAATTTTCCATTATTGTAGTATAATTGATAAATGGCCCAATACATATGTATTTTCTAAAGCACTTGGAGAAAGTATTGTGTTAAAGTACAGCGATAATCTTCCAGTATGTATTGTTCGACCTTCTATCATGACATCAACAAGCGAAGAGCCACTTTTAGGATGGACAAATAATGTATATGGAGCAACGGGTGTAGCTGCGGTATCTACTGTAGGTTTGATGCATACACTATATTGTGTACCAGAAAATATAGCAGATATTATACCAGCAGATTGTGTAATCTCTAATGTCATCTGTTCTGCTTGGGATATTGCCAATAGGTAAATCTTTAATTTCATTATCACTTTAAAACTGGGACTGAAAATCTAATTTGTTTAATTACTTTCGGTTATCTATAATAAAAGCATGAACTAATATTGTTCTGCTGTAAATAGAAAAGAATAAAAAAATGATGATACTACTTTATTATGAATATAAACTATAGATGAGGACAAATTAACAGTGGTAGAAGTTAAAGTAAATATATCTGAAGCATAATTTTAATGGTAATTCTTTTACTCTGTAGAAAATCTTCGATAAAATCAAATGAGTCCAATATGTCTGACGAGGAAAGAATACCTATTTATAATTCTGTATCATCATGTCAAAATCCAATTTCTTGGATAGAATTTGTGAAATTTCATGAAGAAGATTTATTTGATGTACCTACTGTAAAAGCTATTTGGTATTATATGATGATAACAACACGATATTTGGTTGTGTATCAACTGTACAGTTTTTTCTTACACATAGTTCCAGCAGCTATTGTTGACATGTTGGCATACCTCGTGGGTCGAAAACCTCAGTATGTATTTAATATATGAAGTATAATGCATATACAGGGTATGTCCCATGTAACAGTTTTTACAATTTTTCAAGTACTTGCGATAATCTAACAAAAAAATATTTTAGACAAAAGCTGATCTGTTTTCGATTGGCTATATATTGCAATAAAAAAAAGTTCGAAATTTTCTTTTTTTTATTATTGTTGATGCCATTTTCATTTTTTTAAATTGCACTTTATATTTTTGACTTAATAGTATTGTCGCCCGTGTCAAGACGAAATCAACGACCTAGTACATCATCACCTTCGGATGACCTTGGCGGCAAAGAAATGAAAATTTCAGCAAAAAATAACAATCTGCTTGAAGGAGTGATAGTTACTTGTGTTTATTACTGACTCGAAATTACATTAAATTCAGGAATCTTGAATAAATTAACACAAACGATTTCGTGAGAAAGTCATATCAAATGTTCGAATTAAAGTCCATTTTCTTGTAGGCACAATTACGCTCTATATAGTAAGTTTCCATTGGTTGCTCTTACGATGCTGTCGTAGTGAAGTTCTTCGCATGGTGTACAGATTTGCTGCTTTAAATGTTCCTTATATTCTATTGGAACAGCATAAACAATCGGCTAGAAATGAACCTATAAAAAAAAAATCAACTGGTATCAAATTAGGTGATCATGGTGGCCAAGCAATAGGGCCATAAGTGCCCAACCAATAATGTTCTTCAAACTTTAAGTTTAGGTAATTACGAACGATTTGAGCATTATGAAGTAGGCAACTGTCTTGCTGGAAATAAATACGCTGCTAAATATCGTCTGGAAGCCCCTGCATCAATGTTTGAATTATGGACAGTTCAAAAGAGCAACCAATGCAAACTTACTATATAGAGTGGAATAATGACTACAAGAACATGGACTTCAATTCGAACATTTGATGTGACTTTCTCACGAAATCATTTGTGTTAATTTAGTCAAGGTTCCTGAATTGAATGTAATTTCGAGTCTTAATAATAAACACAAGTTACTATCACTCTTTCAAGCAGATTGTCATTGTTTGCTGAAGTTTTAATTTCTTTGCCTCAAGGTCATCCAAAGGTCATGGTGTACTAGATCGTTGATTTCGTCTTGATACGGGCTACAATACTGTTAAGTAAAAATATAAAGTGTCATTTAAGAAAATGAAGATGGCCATGACAATAATAAAAAAAAAATTTCGAACTTTATTTTATTGCAATATATAGCCAATCGAAAAGAGATCAGCTTTTGTCTAAAATATTTTTTTGTCAGATTATCGCAAGTACTTGAAAAATTGTAAAAACTGTTATGTGGGACACCCTGAATAACAAATTATAATCAATGAAATGTATTAATTATAGTACTAATCATTAATAATGATCCTGTATAACAAATTACAATTAATGAAATTTATCAATTGTAGTACAAATTAATAATAATGATTAATATATTCTTCTGTAATATACTTTTTAGATTGTTGGATATGTATAAAAAAATACACAAATTTAGCAACGTGATACATTATTTCGCAATGCGTGAATGGCATTTTAAGAATGAAAATGTTGTGAAGCTTTGGGAAAAATTGAATTCTGTTGACCAACAAACCTTCAGACTTAATGTAGCATGTTTCACCTGGCGTGACTACTCCTATTATCATACAAGAGGTATTCGTTTGTACCTGCTAAATGATCCATTTGAAACTCTAGATGAAGCAATGAAGAAGGCTAGAAAGTACGTTTCTTTTTAAAATATTATTAATAATGACCTTAATAACATTCAGTGTTATAGAATGTAATTTTTTTGTATTTTAGGTTATTTATAGCACATTACTCACTAATAATATTAGTCTCCTTATTACTTCTATGGACATTTGTACATTTCATAACTTTTGCCTGGTCGTTTTGTCCTTTGGCATATTAACGATTAGTGTAAAGAGCATTTTAATCTTGTGTTCTAAATAATAAATTATTTACATTTAATTTTATTTTTCTAATTATGCGTACACATGTTATTTGAAATAGCTGTGCACTGTTGATTATGTGAATCTGTTTGCTACAATGCTAATAGATGTCGCCACTAATCTGTATGTTCGTTACTTGAATATAGCGCAGGTATGTATGTATGCATTAACTATTTTATGTATAGTTTTTGTTACATCGTATTTCCTAAATTGTAAATTAAAAAAAACATGTAAACATTGCATATTTTTATTTAAAAAATATAGAACTATTTTAAGTACTATTTCGTTAGTATGTTTGTCATTAAACATTAATTATAATTCGAAATTAATAAGTTGAGAAAATATAAAGGGAGTAAATTAATTATGAAACAAAGGTATATCTACATATATACAATGTTCAATGTATCCTTTTTTTATTATTCAAAAATATCCAAAGTATACGTTATTTAATAAAAGGAAGTTATTTGTCATTCTTACATAAGGGAAGCCATATTTTCCAGTGATATTTAAGTTTAATTTTGTAATTATTTCAGACAATTATAGACCCGTATAATTATCAATGCGACAAACCGAGTGTTTACCGTAATTGAAGACTATATTAACACGTTCGTATACTGAATATCGCATCATTACAAAACATGACGCGTGATAAAATTGAGATTTCTGCAAAAATCATCTTGCTCACATATTATATGCAATTCATCAAGAATCTCATGCCTGATACTTTGATCTAGTTGATTACGTTTAAAATTCAATCCTGGGAATAATGCAAAATATGTAAATCCGTAACGATGATTAATTTGTTTCGAAATCGTTTGAATTAGGCGATGCAATACAGAGGAAGTACAGATTGTAGAAAGAAACTAGATAAAATTTGAAATTCGTTAATAATCATAGAAAATAGTTTCTTAAATGAAAAAATTACCAATTGTGAAAATGAGATTTGGTACGTGGGTGTTTCGCCTCGATTCATAATCGCGTTGGGCCAACAATCGTTTATAGGCGTAACTGTCAAGCAAATAATGTAAAACTGATTGATTTATTACATATCGAAGTTTCAAGATAGATGAAATACATTTTACTTTGATTAAATGTCTAATGATATATTTTGAGTAGTCGAGCCAGAGTAGCCGTAAGAATTCTAATGTTGCAAGTTTGTTTCATGCTATCGTAAATACAGAAATAATATGAATTTTTTAAAATAAATAACGAAGTAAGCATTGGCGTTAAAACAGATACGTAAACGATCGTGTACCAAGAGTCGCAATCTCTACAATCGATCTCTCATCAAGCTACAACATTCTCGTCCATTATCAGTGGTACTATTATTCAAGGATTAGAAAACCTCGATACGCCAAGGTCGAGTAAAAACAGCAAACAGTAATGACACAGAGGGACCGAAGGGAGAGATTGGTAAAAGAAGCGGGTAAGTCGTGCGGCAGTCAGCACCATCGCGTACCGAGCGTCAGAGCGTAGCGCGATACGGGGATGGAGGCCGCGAGCAGGCGAACGACGAGTCGAGCGAGCCGAGTCGAGGATCGAGAACCAACCGGCGACTCAGGAAGGCAGTGCACGCCCGACTGCCGACACGAGCGGATGGCGTACGTAGCCGCTCGCGCCACGCTTACCTCGTGATTTTCCTTCCTGTCAGACACGGTCACCGCCGGTCGTACTTGTGACGAGTCACGCAGTATTTCAACTACCTTGCGACGGCACGCGGTCGTAATCATCAGGTCCATCGTGACGTCGCGTGTCGCGCAATCGAGTAGGAGAGAGAGAGAGGGGAAACGAGCGAGACAGAGGAAGAAATTAAAGAAAACAGGGAGAAGCCGAAAAGTTGTTTTCGATTCGATCTCTGCTTCTCTCCGTCGGGTTTCCTTCGTCGTCGTGTTTTGTCATCGATGGACACTGTGCACGATACGCGTACCTACTAACCACGTGTGTGCGCATGCACGCGTGCACGCATCCGTCACCCGAAACCCGACGCGCGCATACACATACATATACATTATCGGACCCGCGCGCGGTGACATACGGGCGCCTTCGAAAAGTCGTGTGCGCGCGTGCAACCCTCCCGGAGCCCGCTGATGTTGGTTACCATAGTAGCGCGCGTGGCGATCAGCTGATCGTTGGGACTCGAGCGTGTTCGACCGTCGGCAGTCGGCCAGCAGCGGCTCCGTCCACTCGTCGTTCCGTGCGTCGTCTCCGCATGCGTTTTCGTGATTAACGAGAATTTTCCTTCTTTCGCGTAACTCGTTCACTTACCGCGTCCGCGACTCGATGGCAAGGAAACGAACGATCACGTGAACGTCAAAGATCACCAGTGACGTCGTCGGAAAAATCTCGAAAAATTAAAGAAAGTTTCTAAATCGTATTCACCGTTACCGATCGTCGTATTCTGCACTACCGATGCTGGAAGGGTACATCGACATCTTCGCTGCTGTTGTAACTTGTCGTGCAGAAGTTCGGACGAAGGGATTAAGCATGATTTGGAATACATTATCCGGATGATCCGTGACATGTCGATAACAAATCGAGAAAAAAGCGTGTTGCACTTTCGTCGATGAACGTACCAGTAAGTTTGAGACTCGTAATCGCTCTTGGCTGTTAAGATCTTATTGTGATTTACGTCACACGTATTAAATTTAATCGTCCGGAAACGAAACTCAAGAGAGGAATCTGTCCAGCGACTGTGAATTCGAGAATTCCTTACCATATATTCTTCAACCGATCGTTGCAAAACATCACGTTCGACGTAGAGAAGCATTTCTGTTACTATCGATTGTTCGTCGCTTCTTCGTGATCGAACGTTTCTAACCTAAGTTCGGACGCGAGTTTATTGAATACAAAATAAGCGTACTTGGTAGTAGTCACAGTTTCAAAATACGTCAGAAACACATGCACACACTGTTTTTTGGAACAACAACCGTATTTACGTTATGTTCGCGATAGCATCGTCAGGTGGTTTCACAAACGTGACTGATCCTTGGCGACCATCGACAACACGCTACAAAACGTACGAAATGAAATTACGAGAAAACGATCACTCACTGAAATAAATATCTCTGCGGGAACTACCGAGAACGGACACTCGTCTTTCGACACACAGGTTAATTTTAAAACGGCAAGAAATTGGACTATTCAAACCAAGCCGGTACCGTATCCTATTCGTAAAGACGAAATGCAAATGTGACAGTTCGACTGATCGGAAGGTGTCGTTGCAGTGAGTCTTAAAAGATATCAATATATCGATATCGTTTCGTGTCACAGAGTGATCGCAATGGGCGATGGTCGTAGAATTTTTGTGACTGTGAAGAAAAGTATGAACTCGTGAAGAATATGAATGTCTACTGTGTCTGCATGAACACGCTTTGACAATCATTTGTGCCTGCGACGGACGACTCGACCGCATTAATCGATTAATAAACTCGTCGTGAACGCGTAAAGTGACTGTCTTTATCGAACTTTCGTCTGAAGTGATTTTTTTTCTGTGCGGTGCCTGCGACTATAGCTCATACATCCCAACTGCAATGATGTCAGTTCGGGGTATTTTCTCGTGCACGCGGAAACACTGTGATAGCCGATGCCAGCAACGCCATTACTCGGATTAAGTCAAGTGTGAGGAGAACGTGGTTCCTGGAATCATCTCAATAGAAAGCTTTGGTGAGTAAAAAATACATGTGTCTACTAGAACGTAAACAGAAGGAAGGAACGTTAGAGTTCGTCTTGTGTGCTCGCCTGCGTAAGATCGTTCGCGTTGTGGGTTTAAAAATCGAACTGCATTATTTTCCCGCCAGTTTTATCTTTCGATTAACTTATTCGTTATGCGTGTACGAAAGTGGGGAATCGTAATTTATTGTGAAATTTCTTAAGAATATAACATTTCAATAAACGTACTCGTAGAGACGTGTAAAACGATGATAATTTTTACGTTTGGAAGTATTAGTAACTCCGCCGAGCAGAATATAGACTCCGGTCAGTTGTCGAGTCGACGAACCTCTATCGATCTTTGCCTCCTGTCTGTGTCTGTCCTCCCCCGCTCTGTGTCACACAGGAATGCAAGCTGCGTTGTATTTCTGGAGTAGTTATTTCTTAAGCTCTTCAAGTCACAATCTTTGTCATAGAATGTCAGAACAAAGCGGTTAATTAACACCATTGCCTGATTGCGTATCATAAATATAAATGTACTGTGCTGCGTATGCGCACGAATGGTAATATTTTACTCTAGGATTGTTGGAACGTATATGAAATTTAAACTGAATATAAACATACTTATCGAACAATTTTGTATTGCTTTAGAATACGTGATTTATCTAGATATACAGGGTGTTTGGTCGCTCATGGGAAAAATTTTAATGGGAAATTCTAGAGGCTAAAATAAGATGAAAATTAAGAATACCAATTTGTTGATTGAGGCTTCGTTAAAAAGTTATTAACGTTTAAAGTTCCACTCGTAAAACGGCAATTTACGAACAGCTGCTTATAGTGATTCTCACTCACAAAACTGTATGACTGTCGATACGTCAGTAAGTAGAGTTTCTCATGTTGAGTGAGAACCATTATCTCGTTCTACAGGCGGAACTTTAAACGTTAATAACTTTTTTACGAAGTCTCGATCAACAAATTAGTATTCTTGATTTTCGTCTTATTTTCACCTACAGAATCTTCCATTCAAATTTTTCCCAGAGGTAGTTGAACACCCTGTATATTTGTTAGGTTAACAACCATACTTTGGCAACTAACATCCGAATTCAATAGGTTGTGAAACAACATAAGCAAAACGTTATGCGAGCAAAGGTAATGGTTGAAAATTTCATTAGTATTAAATATTACTCTTTTATTATCGTTTCCTTGTTATGAAAAACGCATCTAAGTTTTAGGTACTGTTTGTGTAAGTCTGTACCGGGGTTCCATTTCCTCATAACTCTGTAGATTTTACGAATTTTTTTATGAAATATAAACTGTATATTTTTGAATGTATATATTTGTAAAAAATGGAAAAAGAAATTAGTTTTTTTTTTGACTTAACAAAGTAGAAACCGTTTATAAGGAAATTCATAGAATTTGGATATTTGTATGAACTTGATGGAAATTGCTTGTAGGATCTAAAACCGATTAAAATATATTGGTATTTTAAACGTTCTGTTTTCATATTCGTTTCCATTTCAATAGTAAATTGGAAATATTATAATATGAGTTTATGAATAGAGAAAAAGGACAAGGAGGAAGAAGAAAATACTTCGTGTAAAGTAAAGGATTAAAAAAGAAATTGGAGTTTACTGACTAAAAAATAAAAATTATTTACGATGTTCAAATTGAAAAATTATTTCCTTCATGCTTCAAGTGTATAATATTAACAATTTCTTAACAAGTACATACAATGGAATAGGAAATATCAAGTACTTTTACTTGAAATTTCTATTTGTCTATAAAAAAAACGTATGTATCACTATATTGAGTGGCAGATATACATCAAATTATACAGTTGCAGACAAAATTTAGTGGACAGGTAGAAAAAATAGGTACGAATTAAATTTAACCAAAATAGTGCAACTATTATACACTCAAGTTTGATATATTATATGTATATCTCTATGATGCATAATATGGTTAGCGAATAATTTAAATTAATATTTGCATTTGTGTTGAAATAAAGTATACTTAACGAAAACGTTGGTCGAGGGACAAAAATAAATGGACATTTGTTCAAAATGTTATTAAAAATCGAAAAATGTAAACAAGCGCAAAGTTGATGTGTAAGCTTTGCATAAAACAGATTATTTGTAAGGAAACAGCAGAATGACAGTAAGAAAAGAATTTTCAAATCAAATTCGTAATTTGATTATAGCGAACTGTCGAAATAGATTAAGTTACTGTATAGTAGCAAAAAATCTAATATGCACTGTGGCATGCAAAAGTGTTAGGCAACGTTATTTTCGTAATTAACTTTTTGCGGCACAGGATTTGAGATAATAAAATAGACCCATGTTGCATAGAAATTTTATTGCGTTTTAAATTAAACAAAATTGGTATATTTTTATTAATAAAGGTATCGCATATTACTTCTATGATTTTTCACATAAAACCAGGAAAAAAAGATTGTCGCAATAAACCTTGCGCTTGCAACAATTGATGAGCCTGTATTGGCGTGTTGAATGTAGCTAACACAAGTGAATACACTTGTAACATTTGTTGAAGATATTACCAACTGCTTTACGTAAATAAAACGAAATATAAACCTATGCGCATGTAGCTATTGCAATATTTCGAGGTGGGACTAAAAATGTCCCACCATGCATTACGGTGCATCAAAAAGGTGGGACACTTTTAATCCCAGCGTGCCCCAAAGAGTTAATGCATAAATAATTCTTCATAGAGCATTACGAATACATATCCAAGAATAGAAAGTTAAAGAAAATTGTAATGACAGGTATTAGTAACAATAGAATATCTATGTGTGTAAAACTATAGGGTCAGGCATGATTAGGTATCGTTTCTTATCGACCTACCGATAATATTTTATTTCATACGTACAGTATTGTATCTACTTTGAAGTAAGATGGCCCGTTATACAAATATGTAATCGCGTAAGACAGTAATCAGGTTGTCTAAAAGTTTGTCACTATTTTGTTATCCACAGAAAAAATAGAAATTAATAATACAGTAGAAAAATTTAATCTTGAATTTAGTGTGAATGATTTACCAAAATATAAAATTATTTTTATGGAACTTTTTACTTGTATCAACAACTACTTGTAATTTGTGCAATATTAATAGATGTACAAGGTGTTCGACCATCCCTGGGAAAAATTTTAATGGGAGATTCTAGAGGCCAAAATAAGATGAAAACCAAGAATATCAATTTGTTCATGGAGGCTTCGTTAAAAAGTTATTAAGAAATTTAATTAAATTTCAAATCATTCACAGAAAAATTATTTTCGGTTGCGGGGGTCAATCACAATCATTTTTTGTGAATATACATATTCTCGAAATCATAACCATTTTCGAGAAAAACATACCTTACCGAAAACATAATTTCAGACTAGAAATGTCACTCCAAAATTTTATGCGTATCTTTAAAACGTCATAACTTCTGAACGGATTGGAGGATTTTAATGTTTCAACCGGCAAATAATGCGTATTTTGGTGAAGATTAGGTAGAAATTCTAAAAATATTCGAAAAGTTGTTCCTTGATCCTGCAAAATGAGAAAAACCCCATAAATATGGTGCAATTTTCAAACAGCCATAACTCCTACAATAATGAATAGATTTCAATGAAACTTTTTTCTGCAGTAGAGCTCATGGGCACCTACAAAAAAGTATTATACAAAATTTCCTTACAACGTAAAACAAATGTATTAAAAATGAAAAACAAATTCTTAAGAAAAAACGACAAGGCGGTAGGTGCTTAAATTGTCAAACGACCATAACTTCTACAATAGTAAATGGATTTCATTGAAATTTAGTTTGGAAGTAGAGCTCATTGATACCTACAAAAAAGTATAAGACAGTTTCTCTGTAAAGCGTCAAACAAAATTACTAAAAATCAAAAACGAATTTCTAAAAAAATCAAGAGGGGTGCCTGAATTTTTTCGGCGAAAAAAAAATTTCAAATCGTTGTGGAAAAATTATTTTCGGTTGCGGGGGTCAATTATAATCATTTTTGGCGAATAGACATACTCCCGAAATCCTGCGTATTTTCGAGGAAAAAAATTCAGTTCGAGCGGAACTTTAAACGTTAATAATTTTTTAACGAAGCCTCATTCAACAAATTAGTATCCTTGATTTTCTTGTTATTTTGGCCTCTAGAATCTCGCATTAAAATTTTTCCTAGAGGTGGCCGAACGCTCCTGTATACGCCTTTCGCAGTCAAAGGGTTATATGAATTTTAATTGTAAAGGCGCGTTCACGTCTATTCGTATTTGTCATCAAGGGTTTACATCCGTAAAAAAAGTATGATTATTATTATTTTGATAGGGTCCGTTGATCCCTACTGTACCAATTACGCAATAGTAGTTCGATCAAGGGTGAAATGCACGGTAAACGGTCGCGGATAAGGGGAAAAGTCCGTAAAGCGTAAACATGGTGGCTGGAGTGTCGTTGTGACTGAATATTAATGTTGTCGCGGAGATGGTCCGAGATAGGTATGCGCGTATGGGTTTACAGGGACTGATGGTACAGTATACGCTGCATACGTGCGAGAAACGGGCAGGCGCATCTTAATTTGCGGTCGCACGTTCCTAATTTGGTTTACCGACGGCCGTGCACCCAACGAATAACGTTCTGCCGCAGTTGCGCGGCATTAGAGGGAACACAGGGATACGGAGTAAGAGACAAAGAGACAGAGAGGATGGTTATTAGTCGCTCGCGGTTATTTCATTTGCGACTCATGGTCCGTGGTACGGGTTCGTGTAATTGTCAGGTTTACGAGGGGCCCGCCACCACGGCTTGCGACAAAGCTCCGTCGAAGCGTATCCAGAAAGTTATGGTCTATGAAAAGTACTGTAATTCGCGCTCGACGGGAGAGCCGTGTGTAGATAGAAGAATACGTTTTTTTTTTTTAAACAACGCGACTGCATCGCGTAATTTACGTACCTGTTCGTCTCGCTCGTGAAACGGAGACAGTATCGGGAATGTTGGTTCGTTTACGATGAGTAGTAAG